TTAATAACAATATCACTTGGCCGCTGCAAATTAATAGAGAATTTGAAAAAGATTTACAACTTTATAAATTATTCTCTTTAAAATTTAAAAAAAATTGTAAACGATTCTTGTAAAAATACATTATTCAACAAAAATGTTTGTTCTTAAGACAATATTGCTCATAACATATTTTATGCATAAAAGCAATTAAAAGTTTTTCGAATCAAATAATGTCTTAGTTTTTTGCATTTTTTTTTTATTTTACGATTCAGAGAATGTTTTCTGGAACTTAGAGCGCTGTTTGACCAAAAAAAGTCTCTGGGAATTTTTCCTTATAGATAAAGTAAACATTAAGCGCTACAAAAAATAATTTCTCGAAATTGTGGATTGACAAATGTAAAAAGAAAATTACAAAAATTTAAAAAAAATAAAAACATTTTAAAATAATTCATTTGTGAATAAGTTTCATTAAAATCCAACAATTATTTGATTTTTGTAAAATTTTCTAAATTTCACCGCAAAAAAAGACGCTAAAATGTCCCATACCAATTTATGATCACCTGTTGATGTCAGAAAAAAAAAATTTTTAACCAAAATTTGGAATCATCTGAAAAGGATAAAAATATGATTTAATAATCAAAAAATCATTTGGTCATTCCTCGTAAAAATGACTTAACGATTTTGAGGATAAAATTTTGTTTTAATAAGTTTTTGGACATTTTTTCATCATATAAGCTCATTTTTTGACGAATCTTAGAGGTGCCTATTCATATACATACATACATACATACATACATATATATATATATATATATATATATATATATATATATATATATATATATATATATATATATATATATTGCTACTGGCTAAAAAAGTATAGCCAAAAGCGCTTGGATAAAGAAAACATTAGAATAATTTTATATAATTTATTTTCTAAAACCTAAAAAGATAATGCGAACACATGAAAAATATATAAAGAAATTAACCACAGTACCTTGTCAGTCGTTTATAAAGAAATTTGCATAAAAGTGGGAGTGCTACCAACTGCAAACAAAATTCGACGTATGCGGGTCAAACAGATCAGATCGAAGGAAACCGACAGCCCGACACTAGCACATGAGATTTGATTATAGTGGTGAAGGTCTTATTCAGAATCATTCCGCACTTTTTGATGCGCCGAATACAGAGACTTGGTGCACTACGTGCCACAGGGTCCCCTAACGACCCTCCGCAGGTTTTGAATTTAGAGTTGTCCTTCTCCTAGACCAGTTGCGATCCATAGCTATAGAACCCAGTCTTTCATGCTATTTATCCACAGCTGGAGGGAGAAGATGAGAATTCATACCTTTCCCAAGGGTATTACCACATAAGTGAATGTAATGGATTCGAGTGGAATTCGAACTCGGCTCTCTGCTATCCATTACTTCACCGTACCTACAACATATATATATATATATATATATATATATATATATATATATATATATATATATATATATATATATATATATATATATATATATATATATATATATATATATATATATATATATATATATATATATATATATATGTGTTTATATATGTGTGCTGAAATAATAATAATTATATATAAATATATATGGTTATTATTATTATTATTTTAGCGAATTTATCCATTTGAATTTACCAAGGTCAACAAATTATCCATGGTAATATTCATTACTTTTTAGTGTTTCTGATAAGTAGGTCACATCTTTAAAATATTCACTACCTACAAGAATTTTAATCATTTAGTTATCTATTTTTATATGTAATTAAATATATTTTAACACCTGCTATGGCAACTCGGGAATATTTTCTTGCTACAAAATTGTCTTTAAAATAAATATTGAATCACTTCACGAAAATAAGCAAAAAGCGTTGTCTTAGTTTTGCATAAAAATGATGTCGTTTTTTTTTTTTTTTTTTTTTTTTTTTTTTCTATTTTTACAGCTTTACATCAACTCTTCCCAACATTGCTTCGTTGACCAGAGTTGATTGTTTAGATTCAATTAAAACCCGCTGGAGATTAAAAGGCGCCCCCTATCGACGAACTACTTTTCACTTTTTGACCATATCGACTCACCTATCATTCGATTTATTTGACAAACTCTTGTGTAGACAAATGATGTGTTCATTTATTTTTTATAATGATTAATGTTTGACTTTCACAGCGGGATTAATGAATCTGCTGTTTGCAAACAGTGTACTTTTGTTTTAATCTATTTTCGACTTGATGATTCTAATGTCTCATAGCTCTATGTAAAGTAACCTCAAAAAGTATATCTAGAAGTAACCAATCTATCGTTAATATATTAGAATTTCCACTTAATTTTATTGTTATTTTAATCTTTATTGAAATTTTTCATCAGAAATAGAGAGCTTTGAAACAGAACAAATGAGTATTAAATGTTTACAAATTGCTATATATACATACTTAGAAAGATGTATGGGGCATTTCATTAAATGATGGTAACTCCCCAAAAAGAAGGAT